GCGGCGATTTCATGTGCAAATTCCAGTTGTAAAGCCCCTGTGCCCTCAAATGTTTGCAAAGGGTCTCTCTTTTTCAATGATGGGATGCCAAAAGCAAGCGTGGAACCTTGTTGAGGTTTTAATTGGTATTGCAGTGAGTTTTTAAACCCTGACTCATTTTTTGCTGCTGTGCAAGGGAGGGGTGTGAGGTGCTTTCCTGCAGCGCTCGCAGGTGTCCAGGCCCTTTGGCATGTCTGTGCTGGTGAGTGCATCCCATTGTGCATGTGAGGAGCTCTGCTGAGGAGCTCATTAGTGGATGTTGTTAATGGATCAATCTGTGCTATCAAAGTCTTGTTTTCACTGTGTCAATGAGTGAAATTGCCCTTGAACCAATTTTTTTGTTTTTTGGTTTTTTTTTGTTTTTTTTATAACTTAGAATCATAGAACAGTTTGGGTTGGAAGGGACCTTTTGAAGTCATCTAGTCCAACCCCCCTGCCATGGGCAGGGACGTTTTTGACTCTACCCTGGCCTTGAACACTTTCAGGGATGGGGCAGGCACATCTTCTCTGGTCAACCTGTGCCAGTGTCTTACCAACCTCGTTGTAAAAACCTTCTTCCTTATCTCTAGTCTAAATCTTCCCTCTTTTGGTTTAAAGCTATTACCCCTTGTCCTATTGCAACAGGTCCTGCTAAAAAGTCTGTCCCCATCACTCTGAGCATGTTCTGTCACTCTGCAGCGTGAAGTACTTGGCCCTGGCTGCTGGGCTGAGTCTGCATTCCTTGACACATGTCAGGTACGTGTCAAATCACTCTTCAGAGTGAAAGGGGAATTAGATGTTCCCTCTCTATTTTGTCTCTATTGTATTTGTTGCAAAGGAACGGATCTGCCCACACCAAGAGTCGCTTGAAGGAGCATTATCCCCTGCGTGCCTTTGATTTTCTGTGGAACCTTCCCAACCAGTGCGTTTTCCGTTCCAGCTCCAAAAACCCCGACTGCTTCAGCAGAGCCCTCCTGCCGCCCTGCCCTGACCCCGTGCGCCCCTTCCCATCGCCACCGGGGCCCGTGGGGGGGTCCCGGTCCCGGTCCCGGTCCCGGTCCCGGTCCCGGCTCGGGCTCCGGGTCCCCGGGCGGTCCCGCCCGCCGCCAGCAGGGGGCGGTACAGCCCAAGCCGCTCCCTGAGCTCCGGGGGCCGCGGGTTCGAGTCCCGCGCTGGGTGTGTCCGCAGGGTCGTTCTGCTCCCTGCGCCCGACGTGTTCCCGGAGGCCTCTCCTTTGTGCTCCTCTGCGGTACATGGTTGTATTTCACCAGCCCAAGGGGACAACCCGCCAGGCCTGGCCCCAGGTTAGCTCTGGGCCCCCAGCACTTGCCTGCACTGGTGTCTCCCCGGTGCCCAGGACAGGAGATGGGTGCTCACAATTATCTGCACCAGCTGTAGGTGTGAACTGGGATGCTGAGCCCGGCAGGGTCAGAGGCAGGACGGCTGCCTGCCTGACTGGCGTGACCCTGTTCTTCACCCTCCAGCCTGCTCCAGACTTTTTCTTTAATGCCTCTTTGTCTCCTTTCAGCATCACCCCGGTGTTTTGATGCTTCTGCCCGAGAGAGGACCCACACACTGAGACCGGACTGATCATGGAAGGGAAATGCCACATGGCTGAATTAGACCCAGAACCGCTCTCAGGATAATTAACTCATCAGCAAGGTTTGTTTAACATGAGCTCTCTGGTTTCAGCTGCGTTTTCTTTAGAGCAGTTGGTGTCTTCCTGGATATAAGCATTTATTTCCATAATGCTGACTCCAAACCCTGCCTGCCTGCAGGACTGTAATTTATCCCCCGAGGAGCATCCGGACAAAGCAGGGCACTAATTCTGCCACCTGTGCTGATGATGTGTCCAAAGAGATCGTGTCAAGTCTCTATTAAAAGCTGAGAATAAGACAGAAAGCCTGAAATCTTCACTTCCAGAAGATGTATGAATGTAATATAAAGCTGCTGCTAATTCTTCCCAGGGATTAATGGAGACTATCAAGGACAATTTCACTCAATACTGCTTTTCTTTTTGTAAAGTGAAGCTTCCCCAAACCTGAAGCAAGGCAGAAACATGGCTTTGAGTCTGTGTCGCTCTCCTTCAGTCAAATGGAATTAGCTGTCTTTATTTAAAAAGTCTGTGCTGGCACCACAGTGCCGACACTTTCCGAGACAACAAAATGGACAGAAATCCATTTTCCAGGCTGGAAGCAAGGCAAAAAATAGATTGGAAGAATGAAGAGTGAGGAGGAATTGAGGCATTCACAGAGCTCGCAGTGTGAGTGATTGGAAGTGATGGGAAGAAGGCAGGAGAGGGATTCATTTGTTTAAAATATAGGACTGGAATTGACTTTGAGGTGCATGTTGCATCACTGAGGAACCCAGGCTGCTGTGGCTCTGCCTGGTGGGAGCTGGGCAGCAGCAGGGAGGGAGGGAAGGATGGAGGTGTGCTGGTGCAGGTCAGCAGATCATGGGGATGGCTCTGTCCAGGCACCCCAAACATGGGGCAGAGAGCCAGGGTGTGTCTCATGGTCTGTCAGTGGAGGCTTCTGGCAGCTCTGCAGGAAGGTCACGGCCTCTTCTGCTCACCTGACACCAGGTTTGGACACCAAGTGTGCCTTGTGTGGGGCCAGATGAGAAAGGATGCCCCAGGGAAACCTGGATTGGGCCAGAACTAAAAGAGACAAGATACCCACCCAGAAAGGTGCTCAGGGCAGCACTTTGACTTCACCTCAGTTTGGCAATGACAGACACAGACAAAATATTCCAAAACTCAGTGAAGCCAGTGCCTGTCCAAAGCAGCTGGGGAGGGATTTGGGCTGCCCAGGCTTCTCTGTCATGCCTTGATGCCCCTGAGAGCCCTCCAACCTGTGCTGCTGTCAGTGTTTCATTAGGGAGCTCAGGGTAAGGTCTGAAGACACATCTGCACAAGTGCCTCGTTTTTGCACTGCAGCTCATCAGGCTGCCTCTGACTAATGAAGTTTGTCCCTTTTTGGGGGCTTGATAACATTATGCTCCTCCTGCTTCCGTTCCCATCTCAGAAGAAGAAAGTTCCCTGCCTATAAAATTCCTGGAGACATCGATTTGTGGTTATCTCATGGCAATGATTTTACTTGGCCTTGCTGTTTGTGCTTGGCATTGCGGATGCTTCCAGAAATCAATGCTGCTGCTCTCCCTTCTCCTGACAGGCAACTCCTGGGAGCTGCTGCCCGTGTGTCTGTGTCCTTCTCCTTGTTTTCCCTGCCTGGGCTCTCTGTGTGGCCCTCCCCTGAGATTATGTTTCTGTTTCCCAAGTTCCCAGTGTAGGAAACTGCACGGGTGATCAGACACGGGTACAGCTGGAAAGGAGGGTTCTGACGTCTGCCCACGCACACCGTGCCGTGAGTCCTGGGTATGTGCACGAAGCGGGAGCCCTGGGTCAGAGTGAGCCTGGGCTCGGCTTGGCACTGCCTGCTGTGTTACGGGAGTGATGGGTATTAATTAAGCTGCTCTGCCCTCCTGGGCTGCTGACAATGGAAGCTGCTAAATCAGCTGTAAATCTGGCCCTGGGGTTTGTGGGTTCCTGTCAATCCTGGGCTAAAGTTCAGTCTCAAAACTTGAGAAGGGTTTGATTCCTTCAGTTCTTGCTAAAGCCCTCCGGCTCCTTTCTAGGAGACTTTAATTCATGTTTTGGCAAATTCTGTTGCTAGAAATTAGTTTTGGAGCCTGGCTCGGGGAGGATTCATCCATCCCAAACCAACCAGAACACAGGTAACCCTACGGGGACAGGTGCTGCACTAACACTGTGGTCCTGGTGCTGAATTCAGCATGTTACACTGCACTGGGGAGCTCAGAGAGAACTCCCTCTTTCCACTTCCCTGAACAATTTAATTAATAAGAATGGGAAAAATCTCCCCTGAGTAAACCTGCTTGCAGTGAGGCAGAAGAAACACAGCAGTGAGTGATACTTTTCTGTGCATTTCTTTTCCAGGCTCTGACCTGAGCTGCCACTGGCTGATGTGCCCGACCTCCTTCCAGGGCAGATCCAGCTGTGTTGCCATATTCCCCAGTCTCCATATTCCCCATTCTCCATATTCCCCAGTCAAGTGCTGGGTGGGGAGAACAGTCCATCACCTGAACTCCAGCTCTTTGGAGACCAATCTGGGAGTTCACAGCCCAGGTACAGTCAGTGCTTAAAACCTGTTTTGTTTCCCCCCCTTCCTTCCCCAGTTTCTGTTCTAGCAGCCCAAGGCAGTTGGAAGTTTGCTGTGTCATTTTCCTCCCTGAGTGCTCTCTCCTTCCCCTCAAGCTGCTGCCTTCTTGTTGGCATCAGAGAGTTACTTTCCATCGACGTTTGAGCTGAGCAGTTCATTAATGTTCACAGCATCCATTTGGAAGCAGTCACTGACTCCTACGAAGTGTCCCTGCAAGGGAACAGGCTGAACATCTGTACAAAGCAGCTCCATCACAGGCTGCAAGTCCTGCCACCAGACTTAGGTTTTTCACCTCAAGAGATGGGATTCAGTTTATCTATATTCTTAATAAGGAGTTACTATTTACTCATTAAAGAAGTTTTACAGTCTGAGGTTACTCTTTCATGGTTCTGAACATTAGAGAAAAATAATCCATTAATTTAAGCCTATTTAATGAATTATTATATTTATATACTTTAATATTACTCTTCCAGAAATCCTGTTGCTGTTTAACCTGCAATCTTACAGAACCACAAGTTCAAGTCGGTGCAGGATGCCAGAAGCTGCTCTGGAGCATCTCTCCTCTGTGGGTGTTGGTCTTCCTGTAAGCCCTTCCACTTTCCAGCATTTGTGTTGAGATAATCTCTTCCTGAATTTCTTGCAATGCTTTATTTCAATATATCTTCCCTTGTCACTGCAGGACTGAATCCAGCCTCCTGGTAAGTGATGTCTAAATCACTGCTGCAAGGAGAGGATGAAATATGGGCACGTGAGAGGGAGGCAAAGGATATGGCCGAGGAAGAAAAACTCACAGAGCAAGAAGAAATATGGACAGGGTGTGTAAAATGGTGTGTTCCTCAGCTCCTGCTCACTGCTGTGATACAGGACATGCGTGTGTGGACACAGATTTCTGCTTCTTGCCATGGAATGGTGAGATGATCCAATGTGAGTGTGCGGCCGTGCTGTGTGAGTGCATGTGCATGATGACTCAGATATTTATTACAAATGCAGTGGCATCTCTGAAAACAGCTGGAAATCCACCTTTGTACATGCTCAGCAGCTGGCTTTTGCCAGCAGCAGTGTTCCTGCAGCCTGTACAAGGCCAGAGCTTCACTGTGGGTGTTCGTGGCGACCGCTCGCTCTGTACATTTGGATGAGGCTCTTTGAAAGGGATTAAAAAATGGTTGCCCCAGGCAATAAAAGCACACTGGGGCAAACAGCAGAGGCAGAAATAAAAACAGTGAGTGTAAATCATCCTGAGTCACCTGGGGAGAAAATGGGGAAGGTGGGATGGGAGCTGGTGGTGGGATGTGGGAGTGGGATGGACTGGAGAGGGGCCGACTGTGGAAGGACCTGCTTGTGTGTCTCCAAACTGTGCATTCCATGAGGGACCTGGGGTGAGCTGTAGTGCTGATCCGTGTCTCTTCTCTGCAGTCACCGTCTTGGCAGGCAGCTGGGTTGCACCATCCAGGGGAGATGGTTTTTTTACTTCACTCTGCTACTCTGGTCTCCTCAGAGGGGCTAACGTTATTCATAGGATCATAGATTGGTTTGGGTTGGAAGGGACCTTTAAAGGTCTAATCCAACTCCTGGTTTTGGGACTAGACTGTCACTAGCACATCAAATGTAGTCCAGGATGAGTGTGTGTTAAGTAAAACAGGAGCTCCTACAGCGTTTCTGTGACGGGGCTGCTCCACTGAGCCTGAGCTCACAACAGCACATGCTGAGGGACTCGAGGGAAGCACTTTGCTGCTGCGAGAGAGAGCACCTTGTGCAGTACTCAAGAGCATCCTAAGGCTATTTTTGCAGCCTTCTGTATTCCCATGGGACAGAGAGCCCTAAACTCACTGTGGTGGTAGCAGCTTTCTCCCAACTTCAACATGAACGTATTGGCTTGTGTTTGTTCCTGTGCCAACGCTGTCCCTGAGCCTGGGCAGGCCTCCTCTCCCCCTTCTCTCCTTCTCCTCTCCCACATTTGTGGAGAATGATCATATCTCTGCTGCTCTGTGTTCCGTGAGGCCGAGCACACCGGCCCCTCTCCGGTTCCCCCGCTGTTCCCCCAGCAGCCCTTTGCTGCCCAGATTCCCCCCAAGTGTGTCCCTGTTGAACATGGGTGACCAGACCCGAACAAAGTCCCCAGATAAGATCTCCCTGGGGCCCTGCACAATGGAAACTTCCGTGAAGCCCGGCCAAGGCATCTGCTGAGGGGTGAGATTCTCGTTCCTGCGGGATGAGATTTTCCCTTGAGATCTGTGTTCCTGCTGCCCTCAGCTCGCTCAGCTACCATAAGTGCTGCTTGTTCAAAATTGTATTTATTGTTGTCTCTGTACATTTTGATACCATTTCATTTTTTTACGATCAATTTGTGACACGTGACAGATCCAACTGAAATCAATTTGAAGCTTGGTCTCAAAAAAAGCCAACACTTGTCAGTTCTCTGCAACCTCTCCACGTCGCTTTTTCTCAAGAAAATCTTTTTCAGGGCTGCACTTGAAACAGAAATGAGCATTGTAAGTCCCACAGCTCCTCAGGGATTGGCAAAAGCAGATAGTTTCCTACTTTAAGCCTCCTTGAACCCCTGCTCATATGCTCTGCGTGCTGCCTTCCTCCACAGCCAGCCCCATCAGCCTCCTGTCAGGTTCAGATGCTTTAATAACTGATGGTATCCTAAATAAGTTGGTTTCCTCAAAGCGTGGGGATCCCTGCCATGGTTGCAGAGCATCCTTTCTAAGACAGACTGGGGGAGGAAAAAGCGGCATCCGAGTGATCCAGGCCACAGAGGGAAATGGCAGCCCGTCAGGGCAGTGGTGACGTTGCCGTGTATAAATCAAGAGAGGTGGCAGCTGGGTGTTGCTTGCAAGGAGCAGGAGCAGAGGGATGGCTGCTCATGGGCCAGGGTAGGCTGTGAGGAGAAGGTGTGTCTGCTTGGCTGCAGGTTTTATATAAGGGTGACTCTTTCATCTCAGCTGCGGGGAAGAAGGAACGTCGCAGAGCCTTGAGGAGCCCAGAGGAGCTTGAGTGGAGCCAAGACCCTGTCTCAGCTGGCTGTGGCTGATTCAGGTAACATCCTCTGTTCACTGGTTGTGTGGTGGCAGGGTGACAGGTGTGGTGGCAGGGTCCTTGCTCTGGAAAGACACGTGCAGTGTGCCTGGTGCTCGGCTGCTTTATTTGGAGATTGTGCTGGGCACCAAGCTCCCCATCACCAGCCTGTGTCTGCCATTTCGTAATTAAATTTATGTTGATAATTATTAAATTATAACTTTTAGCTAGCTTTTTTTTTATCGCTTATGCTTCAGTTTATTGCTTTTGAAAGTTAGAAAGAGCAAGGATGGTCCTCAGATGCTTCTCTTGGCAAAGCCCCTCACTGAAACACCTGCAACTGCTCACCACAGGGATACAGAAATAATTTAAACATCAGTTTGGGGGAAAGCAGTTTTGCTTCTTTTGAGTGAATATTTTGGGCCAGTCACAAGGGACCAGGAAAGGGCTTTTATTGACTCATGTGTGGAGTCTGTCCATATGTATGGACATGAAGAAGGTCCTGCTGCTCTGGACTCGGGAGTCTGACTTGAGCTGGATAAAGAGTAAAGGAGGGATTTCTTTCTTGACTTCTTTCCTCCTAAAGACACTGGGATCTCTTCTGATAGGATTTTTCCCCACTGTTCCCTCCGATGTCTCCCTTGCCAGCAGGGGAATCTTCTGGAGATGACGGTATTGAAGCTTTTTGGAATCATCTTTTTCTGTGGCCTCCTCTCGCCCTCTCAGGAAGTCTTGTCTGGCCTGTCCTGCGCTGTCAGTCCGAGGGCCATGCAGAATGGTAACTACAAAAAAGCATGAATTGTGTTTGTTTTGAAAGCTCTGTGGGATCATGAAGGAGAATAAAACCTCCCGAGTGTCTTTATCCTTATTTTATAGTTCCTCAGGTCTGCAGACTTTGCTCAGAGCCCCTGAGAGCCATTGCTGGGTTCGCAGGTCAGGGAAATCTCTGCTCCACAACTGGGACGTGTTTCAGTACCAAGCAACCACATAGAATTTCAGGGCTAGATCTGGGTTATTTCCTCTTTATGTCTCATTTCCATATTGGAGTAGCTGATATTTGACAAACAGCTGCTGTGAAGTAGCAGCCACCATAATATTTGCAATGTTCCGGCTTGTTTCAAGTTGTTTCTACTGAAAACAAACAAACAAAAAAACCGAAAGCAAAAACAAACAAAAAAACCCGAAAGCAAAAACAAACAGGCAAAAATCAACAAACAAAACCCCTGACAAATGGAAAATGAGTTGTGAGTGGAAGTCCAGGCTCTGAGTGGGGTTGCTGGTGTTCCTGGCAGTGCACAGCCATCATGTGCCCTCCAAACTGGGGGTCTGGGATGTTAACTCACCACGGGGAGCTTTGGTTTAGTGCACGTTGCAAAATAGCATCCCTTTGTATTTAGACTGCATGGAGACAACTGGTAGCTCCAAGAGGAGTTCTGGGGAGCAAAAGGGCTTTGCTGTGCCCCATCTTTGCCAGGACAGAATCACAGAATCAGGTTGGATCTGACTGACTGGGGAGAGGTCGCTGCTGGTCCTCACACACAGATGTTTTCCAGTTCTCTCAGATGCCATAATTCATAATGGGCTTCTCCAGCAGCACCTGCAGGGCCTCGTGCTCCCCAACATCATGGGTGAAGGGGGTCTGCTGAACTCTCCCACCAGCATCACAGGGTAAGTGCTTGGCTGTGAGTGCACCTTCACCATCAGTTCTGAAGCAAGACAAGCTGAGCTGCTGGTGGTGGGTGGTGTGGTTGGCCCAGGCCGTTATCCTCATTTTATCATGATACTGAAATTCTGACCCAACTGAAGTTGTCTGTGTGGTAGCAGTGCAGGTGACAAGGTGCACTGCAGGTTATGGGTGTGGGTGCAGAATGACAGCTCTGGTGGTGGCTGTTGATGTCTGAGATGCTTGACAGCACTGAGAGAGGGGAAAGGGACCACAGAAGGGAAAAAGCTGACAGCTCTACAAACTCGCCTTCCACCCCAGTCTTGTTCTAGGCTGCCTTCTTTTGGCTTTCAGCTGTCCCTTATCCTCATGCCTCTGGCTGGAGGTGGCTGTGGTGCTGTGGGTGCTGCAGGTTCCTCATGGCTACAGCTGCTCAGCTGCTGGAAGATGTTTTTAATTTGTGCCAGCCTTTGCTGTTGTTCACAGCCTGCACCTCGTCCAGGTCCGGCTGCCCAGGCTGTCGGTGGTGCTGCTGCCAGGGATCGGGGTCCAGCTGACCATCGGGGCAAAGCTGCAGCTCAGCGGCAAATGGTGAGCAGGGAATTCGTGGTGGCTGATGAGGGGAACCCCTACTCTGCCATATTTTGCATCTTTTATGGATTTGGGGCTGTTTCGTACCTTATAATAAAGTTACAGAGCAAAACAGGCAGCAGAAGATGGCTCTTGACATTGGTAATGGTCTGAAGGAGAAGGAGGTGCAGTCTGCTCCTTCTGGCTTTGCTGAGTTTCTCTAGGTAGAGGCTGAGAGATGAAATCATCCCATTTTCTCTTTTGCAGCTTGGTTGGCCTGCTCTCAGAACTAATTGATATCTTAGTGGATGTGAACATTACCGCAAACATTAAATGCACGAATTTTGAATCTGGCACAGTCCAGGTTGTCACTGAAGACTGCCTCTGCATTCTTGGGGCCATAAAGATCAAGGTCCTTTCTGGGTAAGTGCCTATGGATTTATGTTTTCCATTGCATGCAGTCCTCTTCTCTTTATCCAACAATATGGACAGTCTGCCAGGACACAGGCAGTGCTCAGCTGATACAGAGCCAGGCCTCAGGGATGGAATTTCTTTCCTAATGCCAAAGCCAGTTGCTTCAGTGGAAATGGAATGAGGTTTAATTTCCTCTGTTTATCTGTGGAAATTTTAAGATCTGAAGCATGACTTTCTCTAGACTTAGCTAGTGAATTGATATCCAAAGGGTACAAGTAATAGGGCAGGGAGAGTTCTAGGAAAACAGCACCATTGCTTGCCCTGGTTTTACATTCTGCCTTTGGCTGCTGTTCCAGGTGAATGCTGGGCATGTGGAGTTTCCCTCTGATTGCTGTGGATGTGGGTAATTCCTTGCAAATGTCCCATCTCTTGCTCAGTCTTATTAAATTCTTGACAGCAAGAATTTGCTGACTTTGTGTATTGATGAACGCAGCAGTAAATTGATCATGGGAAATATTTTCTTTTATTGCTTTTGAATTGCTCACTTTTCAGGTTCATTGAATTTCTCCTAATTATTTTTTGCATTATGCATTATATATTTCAATCAGTGCAGCAGCTGCTTTGAAAAATGCTGTGCGAGTGAACAGAAGAACATGGCTCACCTGCTCTCGGGGGTCATGTTTTAAGTTTTAGCAGGATTACAGTGATGGTGTGCGGGAATTGAGTTCCCAGGGGGGTAAAGGAAGTGTGGATGTACATGATTGACTTCATGGCCACTCCTCAGATGCATCTGTAGGCAGAATTTTGGCATAAATAACAAGATGCTCTATGAATTCCTGCTGTCTGTGGCTTGCCAACTCAACAGTCCAGAAATATATTGATTATGAGACGTAACTGGCTTTGTGCTGCTGCAGGCATTGCACGTCCCGAGTGAGCTGTTCAGCAGCAGTGTGGAAATGTCACACAGCAGATTTCTCCTCTTGTTATTCCAGATGCAAATTGTTTGTTCCCAGTAACGAACATGAGGCTATTTCCTAACAGCTCTCTCTTCCCTTAACTACAGCACTGATTTAAATACCAGAGGGAGACACAAAACACAGGTTACTCTGTGAGAGGCTCGCTCCTTTTGTGCAGTGATATCTGTGCCCTCTAATTGCTGAAGGAAAAATTTCTTCACAGAAAGGGTTGTCAAACATTGGAGCAGGCTGCCCAGGGAAGTGGTAGAGACACAATCCCTGGAAGTGTTAGAAAAGCATGTGGTTATGGCACTTGAGGACATGGTTTAGGGGTGAACGTGGTGGTGGTGCTCAGTTGATGGTTGGACTTGGTGATCTTAGAGGTGTTTTCCAACTTTAATGGTGCTGTGATTCTCAGCAATGAGATTCTCAGCCCTCAGTGGGGCGAGTGACCCCTTTGCCCCCCCAGCCCTCTGTCCAGCCCCTGCTCTGGCCAGTGGCAGCCACAGCAGTGGCCCTGAAGGGATGACTAAGGACCTAGCATAGTGTAAAATGAAGGCTGGAGATCCTTTGGTCTCCTGTCCTGGAGCTTTTTTTGTACTGATTGGGATTTTTTTTCTGACCTTTCCAGCTTGCTCACCCTGTCAGTGAATGAGATGGTGCTTCGTCAGCTGACAGCAACTCTGCCTGCTTTGGTATGGCTGAGGATTGCCCTCCTTTCACAGCTGAAACACAGAGATACTGGGAAAAATATGTTACGAGGTCACAGCCAGCTGCACCATCTCTCTGTGCTGCTCTCCCACATGCCTGGCATGTGCCATGAGGCAGGAAAGTTTGTGGGCAGCCTGGCAGCTCCAGAGGGCTGTGGCCAGCGGGACAATGTCTGAGATATTCCCCAAACCAAAGTGTTCCCCTTTGGTGTTGGTCCCACGGCTCTGGGGTTTCTCCCCTGCCCCCAGGTCTTTCACAGCATCCCAGCAGCACTTGTTCCATGGGGATTTAGATGGAAAGGAGGGGGTCTGGGCAGGCTGCGGGTGACAGTGGTGAAGGGGGTTGAGCAATCACATTTCTGGTTTGTGTTGCAGCTCTGTCCTGTGGTTGACATCGTGATGAACCTCGTGAACATCCAGCTCCTGGGCACTCTCAATGGTGCGTTTCTTGTGGGGGTGAGGTGCTGCTTCTCCACGTTCCCCACAGTGGGAAGGGCTGTTCCCATGTCAAATCCATCAGTGCATCAATAGAAGTCCAACCCTTCTGCAGGGCTGCTGTTGAACCTTGAATTCACACCCCAGCACTCCAAGTGAACTGCTCCCACCTTGGCCCTCCTTATATCAGTTTTATGTGTCGCCCTTGGATTTGGCTTTATTTTCTTTGATGCTCTTTTTGGGCTATATCCTAAAGGCTGATACCACCAAGCAGAATTTGGGGATGTTTTGGCCATTTGGAGTAGCAGCAAGCACCCTGCAGCAGTGAATCTCAGACTGTTTGTGGGTGTGGGGGTTGGTGGTCTGAGGGGTCAGGGGAGGAGGTTGTGTTGCTACTTATTTCCTGGTGTTGTAATGATCCTTTTCCTGTGTGTAGCTGTCATCCCAGTTGGCACGGCAGGAACGATCCACTACCAGCTGGCCAGCATCCCCTATACCTCTGGCAAGTTCCTTGGCCTGGATTTAGATGTAAGTTAATGCTGGGCAGCAGGACCCTGGGAGTGTGGCTGTGTGTTGCCTTTCAGTCTGCTCACCTCATCCCACGGGAGCTGTAGAATCCTGTGGAGGAGCTGAGCTAATGACTTGTCCTGGAAATGCAAGCTCCTAAGTATTTGGATCTTGATCCAAGTCACCACTAAGCAACTGTGTGTACTTTTCTTCAAATTTGCTCTGTTTTCAAACTTACCCTGAGTCTGCCCAAGACTGTGTGTTTGTTGGATGCAGCTGCTGGGATGAGCAGCTCTCCTTCTCTTGGGATGAGCAATTTTCCTCCTCTCTCCTGCCGTGCAGACCTGGTGTTAGTACTTTTTGCCTTTGCTGTTCAGCTTCTGTGGTGGGTGAATGCTAAACCAGGCTAATGGATGTATTTTTCACTTCTGTCTTACTGGGGGGGGGAGAAGGCAGCAAAAAGCAAACTACTTTCAAACAGGAGAGCTTAAATAAAAGCAAGTGGCTGGTGAGCACTAAAGAGGAGCAACTGCTGACAGCAAACACTGCAGCCTCTGAAACCCTGCTGCTGCTCTGGCTTTGGAGCAGTCACTTTGTAGGGATGAGTCTTTGTCCCCCCAAGACCCCTGGATGGTCAGAGTTGGTCTCCTTAGCAAGTAGATGGTGTCAGTGTGGGACTCTGTGGAGTTGCAGGGTGGCTGATGCCTGGATGGGTGTGGGAGGGCTGGGGCTGCTGGGAGCTGCACCGTCACCCCTTGTTTGTCCCTGGAGTGAGACCTCAGGGATGAACTGAAGCAGTGAGTTGTGATTTGGACAAAGCACGTTGTTATATGAGAAGGCCTCAGTTACGCACACGTGCCTTTATCAGCTCCTGTCATCTCTGGAACACAGAGGGAACTGTTCCAAGCCCAGTGCTTTCCCGGAGCTCTGGCGAGAGGAGGGCTGTTCAGCTGGCACTGGCCCCGCACTCCCGTCTCAAGGATCTGGGCCTCATGGCTCTGAGGATGGGATTGATGTCCGTGTCACCTCTCCCTGCAGGGTGCAGTGAAGCAGGTGGGAGGCATCACCATCCCCCACGACTCATCCCCCTCCGCTTTGCCTCCACTGATGGACAGGCTCCTGCTCATGGTGATGCGCCAGAGCTTCGTCAATGCCATGCTGACCCTCCTGCTCCGGATGCCGCCACAGACCTTCCCCTGCACACCAGATATTGTGAGTGCAGCAGCACCTGTATTTCATGCCAGAGTGGGTGAAAAGGGACAGGCATCAGCCTGGCCTCGGGTCTGCTTGGGGAGGGCTGTTTGAGGTGTCCCTGGTGCTGCTGGTGCTGTGTGTGCATGTCCCTGTGCATGTCCCTGTGCATGTGCTCGCTGGCAGAGGCTCAATCCCCAGTGCTGCCTCCTTCCTGCTCTTCTCAGAAAGCTGTAATAGCACCTGCACTGCTCAGCTGTGCCTGTTTCTGTATGGGCACCCCAGGGACACCTGTTGAGACCAGTTGTGTACTGATTGTGCCATGGACTCCTGCAGACTGTGATCCCTTTAAAGGAATCTGCAAAATGTCACTGAGAAAAGCCACTGTGTGTGTGCAGTGCCATTACCTGGGTGTTTCCACCTCCTGTGCCTCCAATGTGTACTACCAGTGGGAAATGTTAGGGGTCCACACACTATCAGGTGTTGAAAGCCTTTGGAGGACATCACCTTCCACAGCCAGGTGCTCTCACCTTAACAGCTGACCAGGAATCACCCAAACAGCTAGGGAACAGTGGAGAGGGTGGGCAGCTCAGGGTGCTGTGCAATGGGGTGGCCCTGGCAGGATGGGTGTTGTTTTAGTCAGCTGGAGTGCTCATCAGGGCTGCTGGTGCTTCTGTTCCCACAGTTCTCTGGTGCCAACCGTCTGCACGAGACCTTGTGGACCATCGCTCCTGCTGGGGTGAGTGACTGGTTCAGGCCCGAGGGTTTGTGAAAACCTCGCCAGGTCTGAGCCATCCAAGGGATGCAGCTGGAGGTGCCAGCGTGCTGCTGCCAAAGGTCCCCAGCCTTCTGCTGCCCTCCTCTTGCACCAGCATGGCCTGAGCCTGCCCTGCTGCCTGACCAGCTGATGGGAGCGGGCAAAGGGACTGCGGGTTTGCTCAGCCTCAGCAGCCCCTGCCCTTCTCCCGCTCCCTGAGCTGGGGAAAGTCTTCACCCACAGCTCATAGAGACCTAGACAGCTGATAAATGTCTGACACAGAGGCACAGATAGCTGACATAGAGAGCTGGTAAATGTCTGGTATCTCCCATTTCCTGGACACCCTGTGTGTGACCTTGGAGGAGGCTCCGTGGAGCTGTGGGGCTGTGAGAGTGTGCACCAGGACTGCTGATCCCCTGCTTGGCCAGTGTGTGCAGTGCCAGTAGCCACCTCCATGTGTTTCCAATTCCCACAGTGCTCCACCTGCCGTGGGACCAGCCCTGTGAACATCAGGCTGACCTTGGGTGGGAACCCACTCATCCTCTTGGAAGAAAACAAAGCCAGTGTCAAGCTTTCCGTCTTGGTCCAGGTGTTCCTTAACCGTTTAGATGGATCCGTCCTCAACCTCCTGCTGCTGAAGGCCGTAAGTGTGGATGGAGTCACCTCCAAGGGGTGCAGCGTGCAGCCAGCTGGGTGACTGGTGTGTGGGATAGGGATGTTTCCATGTGTTGATCTTCTGCCTCTCTGCTGGCAGGACCTTGGTCTAAACGTCCGCGTGTCGATTGTGGGAGGCAGGCTGGTGCTGCGGCTGGCCCTGCGCAGGTAGGCTGGCCCTGGGCACGTAGACATTCTCTGTGTTGCAACTATAGCTCTGGGTCTGCTGACTTGAAACGTTTTCCATTTCTGTAAGCCAGACTTTTAATTTTCTGAATCCGGGGATTTCATACCTGGCTGATGGCACGAGGTGGATGGACAGGGTGGTTCAGGAAGGATTACAGCAGCTGGAAAGTTTTAGGAGGCTTGGGGGAAAAGTGTGTCAGTTTTATAACAAGGAGGAATGAGGTAACCTGAATAATTGTAAGACTGTCAGCTTGACTTTGATCCTGGGCAGTGGTTAAAAATGCCTGATATTGGACATGAGTGATAAAGGAGTAAAGGAAAGTGCTGTCATTAATGCCAGTCAAGGTATGATTAAAGATTGGAGAGCATTCCTTATAGCAGGAGGTTTGAGGATTTTGGGCTATTTAGCTTGTCAAAGAGCTGGATTTAGAAGCAAAATTGGCATAGCTTGTATGCAGTGATATAGGGAATAGAAATGCATCAAAAGGCTTTTAATTCAATAGACAAAGGTATAACAAGATTCAATAGCAGTAGAAAAGAGAAATTGAAATGGAAATAGAGCATCCATTTTAGGTACGAGTAGTGGTGTGATTGCAGTGATACATGAGGAGCTGTAGCAAATTCTCCAGGTCCTTAAATCCAGACTGGGTGTTTTTACATAGAATTACAGGATGGTTTGGGTTAGAGGGGACCTTAAAGATCACCTGGTTCCTACCCCCTGCTACAGGGTTCTAGAAGCTCTGCTCTCAGCTGTCAGGAGCTGACTCCTCTCTGAAGGTGAATAACCTGTGCAGGGAGAGGGAAGGGGCAGCCAGGAGCCGTGTGTGCCCTGCTGCAGTGCTGCTTCCTTGACAAGCAAATAAAAATTAGGTTAAGTTTTTATTTTCCTATTTTATTTTCTCTCTTGCAAGTCTGGCAGTCCCTGCTTTTTGTGTTACAGTGGAGGGACCCCTTAGTGGGTGATGCCACACAGGGGTCCCTGCCCATGGGCTGAGGAACCTTGTGCTTGGAGGTGGCTGTGAGCTTGAGCTCTGGCCAGTGCCTTGTGTCTGACCTGCTGTTTGCTCTCCTTTGCCTGCAGCACCTCCCTCTCCTTGGAGTCTTCCGATGTTGGCATCAGTAATGTAAGTCTCTGATACCAGTCTGGGCTTTACTGGGCAGGCAGAGCCAGCTGAGCATGATGCCCTGTAGCTTCAGGAGGGAAGGGAGCCAGGCCATGCCTGTGGGATGCTGTGATGGATTGCTCCTGCTGATGGTCATAGCTGTTAGCTGCTCTGTGGTGTAGGTTGTAGCAATTCTTCTTTTGCTGTTCTTTTTTCCCTTCTGCCTTTTCTAATAACGCAAAGGTAAGGCTGAAATCTGTTTGTTCATTCACCCCTGCTCAGGCAAAGCTCACACAGACCTGCAGCACGAGTGTCACCAGGTAGAGGTTTTCCCAAAGGAAGCACTGAATACAAATTGAGGAATAAAAGTAGATTTGCTTTAAAGAGAAGAGGGACTGTTGTTTCTTTTGCTGTGTCAGTGCAGGATGGGGTCTCTGCTGTCAAGGGCAGGGCAGTGCCCCTCATGTGCTTGTTCCTTCTCTGGCTCAGATCTCGATCCTGAAGCCCCACTGCAGCAGTCTGCTCATGGAAACATTACTGCCTGTGATGAATGGTAAGGTGCCCAGGGTGGCTGTAATGTTGGGAGTGTTTGGGTTTCTGGGGAAGGAGGGAAGAAGGGAATGTGTATGTATGTTTGGAAGCTCTGGCAGGAGAGCAGAAGCCATCAAAGCTCTTTGATCCCCATTCTGAGGCTGGAGTTAAATATCCAACCTTATTCTTGCACCATCCCACCCCAGCATCAGTCCTGGCAACAGTCAGTGGCACAGAATGTAAAGAAAGCCAAGTGCATGGTGGTGCTGCAGTCAGTGCCCCTGAACAGCTCTGTCATGGGGCATGAGCTGGGTCACCCCTTGGTGGTGTACAAGGACCTGTCTGTCTCCTGCAGGTGCCCTGAGCATCGGGATCCCACTGCCAAACGTGCTGGGCATTCCCTTAATAAAGGTGGATGTGCACATATTAGCGGTGAGTGTTCAGATGGGCTGTTCTCTCCTGTAGGGAACTGGCACAGGCCACTGGGGATGTTTATAGGACCCTGCCAGTGCTGGTGGTGTGTACCAGAGCCATAGATTTTAACCCCTGAAAGGCCAAAAGAGCTGCTCTATCTGGCTTCCCTCAGATCAGGGAATGCTGCCTGAGGATGTGATGCCCACACATGGACCCAAGTGTGTCATGAGCAGTGCTCAGACCCCGGGGCAGTTCCTGGTTCCCTGTCCCTTCTTTCCTTTCTGGAGAACTTGATGGAAGCAGCTCTGGTGTGGATCTGGGGGGTCATGCAAGCCCTTTTCAGTGGCACTTTCAAAGTGTCTTGAATTCCAGCCCTGTGCACCCTGGAGGTGTCCCAGAAGAACCAGGATGTTCTCCGACACTTCCCAAAGGGTTCTGTGCCCTCCTTATTACAAACCGGACATGAAGATTCTTGCAGGAGGGTTTTCTCTTTGGTTTGTGTTGTGAAACCAGCACCCCTCTAAGTTGAGAGTTAACGTGGTTGTGTCTCTCCCTGCTCCCCTTCAGGGCCTGATCGTGCTTCTGGTGTGAGCTGGGGAGTGCAAGGCACAGAGGGGTCTGCGGGGACAGAGAGAGCAAGAGACCAGCGAGGACAGAACACCAGGGCCAGCATTATCTGCTTTTCTTTCCTAAACTTGATTCAAGATTATTGATAATATTTAAGACACTCTAAAGTAAATTGGCTCGTGTGAGTACAGCGACACTTGCATAAGCCAAACCCGATTGGCCGCTCTGTGTACAAATATTTATTTAGAGAAGTTGGTGTGATTTTGGGGTCACAGTCACAGCAGCTGCGTGTGATGCTGCAGTGGAATTGGGAAATTTGTTCTGAGGTCAAACTCTTCCTGATGGAAAAAAGAAGTGAACTTGTTGCATGTGGCTTCCGAAGCGAATATCCCCATCCAGGTTTGGGAGGGTGTGAAGTGCCGAGTGGGAGCTCAGGATACATTTGTCATGTAACTCTTTTAATAAATGTTCCTACTTTTTTAGTGCTCAGAATGAGGTTCTGGTTTCTGATGCTTCTCAGGGAGAGCTTCTGTCCTGCCCCCACTCTGGGGTCTGGTTCCTTAGTGACAAACGATATTTTGGTTTTGGGTTTAAAAACTCTTCCGACTCGAACTTCCTGAGGAAAGAAAATACTTGGATTTTCAGTGGCTCCTCCTGGCTTGGTAACCTCCTGACCAAATGCTAATCCACAAGCAGAAATCATAATTAAATCGAATTTTCAAAGGTCACGAAGCATTTCCTGATAGAATCTGAAGGGAAACTTTGTTACCAGAGAAATGAGAGGTCTGATAGCCCTGGAGCACACCCGTCTGCCTGCCAGAGCCACATCTGCTTAGGCTGATGTCACAATCTGTTAGTACCTGCACATCACAGGGACAAGAATCACAGCATTTCAGATTTCAGAAAAACAAATTGTTCTGGTTAAAAAAAAGAAAAAATAAACCTGAGGTTTTACATGGCCTCTCCAACACCTGTTTTGCCAAGCACTGGATATGATTGTGAGCGTGTTATTTTCTACTGGTGTCCCAAGAGGTAGTGATGGAATGTCACTGCTCCAGAATGGGTCTGGCACTGACCAGGTGAGGGGTGGGGCAATGTTCCACTCTACATTTCTGCCTGAAGGGGACAGGGCTCCACGTTTAAGCAGCGGGCTGGGTACAGCCTCAGTGCCAGAACCCTGCAGTGAGGGGTCTCTGCAGAGCGAGGTGCCAACAAGTGTGAACGCTGTGGAGCATCAGGCTGGGCTCAGGATCCAGGAGCAGGGAGTTCAGATCCCATTGCTCATGTTCTCTGACACCAGCATGCCCATGGAGCTGGCAGAGGTGTCTTTGTGACCCTTTTACCCAGAGGGCAGGATGAGCAGCCCCAGCTATCCTGTGCTGGCAGCTGCTTTGTGCCACCTCAGGGTTCCCGCACTGCTGGGGCTCGTTGTTTCCATCCATCCTTTCTGCCCATGGGTTGGCAGAACAGGCTGTGTTTGCACAAGGTTTTGTTCTGGTTCCTGGGCAAACACCTTCTGGACAGTAAGTAAAGTTTAGCCTCTCTTCTCACACTCTTTTGGCCATCACTTCTGTGTGCATTCTGCCCAGCTGGGGGAGATTCATTTCGCTGGCATGTTACAGAGCACTCTGTGATCTGTCACTGTCCCAGGGCGCTCCTTAACCTGGGAAAGAAAAGGCAGTGGGGAGCATGTGATGAGAACTCACTGCTGCATGGAGCCAGGGCAGGGCTGCGAGCTCAGGGTCACAGAAGAGTGGAAAACTCATCTCATGCCCCTGGAAATGGCTTTTCCCCCTGGAATTTGGTCTCCATCATGCCAATCATCCCACGAGGCTGAGTGGGAAAAAGCAGAGGAGCCTTTTCCAAAGGAAAGGGCAGCACCTTCTCAGTGTAACTCCTTACTTATGCAATTTGTGCATCTAAGGCTCTGAATTTCTAGCAAGCTCAGGAGTATATCCAGAGCAGGAAACTGCAATTCAGAATCAATAAGAGCTGGGACAATCCTGTCCAGGAAAATTTCATTAACACTGGAACCATGACAGGCTGGAAAATCCTTTGCTGGATGAGCAGCAAGAGGGGTGCAAGGGGCTGGCTGTGCTGCTGGCAGTGCATGGGATTGGGGTTCTCCAGCTCTTGCTCCAGGAATGCCCCTGGCAAAGCTTCATCCCCTGCTCTGTGGGGGCTGGAGAATGGGCTTGTCCCCACTGTATCAGCATTTGAACCATTCTGTGCATCCTGCTCGATGTGCCACTGGCAAAGGAAGCCAAATATCACCAGGCAGCACTTTCTGCAGGACTGCCCAGGAAGTGATGGATCTTGTGTATGCCAAAGATGATAATGCAAACACTTTTTTCAGCATTTCTTTTCCCAGGCTAACCCAAAGTGGCAGCTGGGGACAGCACTGCCTGTCTGCTGAAGGCCCAGCTGTGCTGAGGGGACTCAGCAAATGAGGTGACTGGAGGGAGAAGCAGAAGACCCCCATTCTCCAGCATAAACCAGCTCTGCTCCAAGCCTGTGGCTGCTTTCAGGTGGGATGTGGGGCTGGGGGTTGGGGGGTGCAGCTCCTGAGACCCCAGCCCTGCACTGGAGAGGCAGAGCCATGCAGTGAAGCCTAGAGCCAGAATATCCCCTGGCAAAGAAATACATCTCTTTACTACTGTAGCTTATTCCTTCTGGGAAAGTGGTTTAAGATATATTAGTCAAAGAATAATGGTTGCAGCTCTACTAGGAAACTTTTATCAGGAGCAGTTCCCACTATGGCCAACTTTGGGCATTAACATCATTAGTCAGGTCCCCTCGCTGGGCACATAAACCTTCAGGGTTCCTTACTCTTTGTAGTAAATCAGCCTGGCTTGTTTTGTTTGCTTTCCTATTTCTGAGCCTCTGAAATATGAGGTTTTGAAGTGTTTTTCAGCAGCTTCAGGGGCTGGAAATGATGGCTGTAGCTGTGGCAAGCGAAAGCAGATGTAGATGTAATTAATATGGTTTTATGGCTGGGGTGTTACATGAAACATCACCATGGGAGAGCTGAGGTTGGAGCTGCATGGTCAGGGATAAGGATGCTCCTTCTGGGCTGCACAGCCAGGGTTCAGGATGCTCCTCCTGGGCATCAGCCACGTGCTTGCCCTGGCCAGGGCAGTTGCTAGCAACACCCAGTCACTGTGCTACTGGGACAGCTTTTGGAGCTTTGGTACCACCCACCCTTCCCTTTTGGATGCTCTTGTCTCTTGTAGATGTTTTTTTCCCCCCCTTTCATCTCATGAACAACCTGGAGACACATCTGGTCAGTAGGAAAGAGCATCCCAATGCCAACGGCTGCGCAGTCTGATGCCTGCAGTCACCTCTCATTCAGCACTTTCTCTGTGATGAGCTTTCTCAGCAGCGAAGTGTTGAAAATATAACTGCCTTCATGTCTAAAATTAGAAACCATTCTGCAGACTGATTTCCTCCCCCTCTTCTTCTTTCTGACCCAGGAAGCCCAACAGCCGTAGTGTTCCCATAGTAACACGAGACATGGAGGAAAAGCAGATGAAAGATCTCTCGTTGTAGGGGCTGTGTCGTCCTGCAGCTGAGAAGGCAGGAGGCTGCTTTGCATGCTTGTAAATGAGTGGAATCTTCATGCTCCCTTAATTAAATGTCTGGACATCTGTATTGGTACCAGTTCTTAGCAAGGCAAAATTCATCTGTTTATAGGTACAAATTGCTGAGGGGGAAAAATGTCAACAGGCACACTAGAAAATGCAGAGTTAAAGAGAAATGTTTAATTAAAGCACGGAAGATTATTACAATCCATCTTCTGTGCAACGGAAGTGCCAGGGGTAGGGCTGGAAGAGAAAGGTGCTAGTGGAACGCTGTTATTATCCAGAATACGACACCATGATGTTTTAGTAGGGCAAGAATGAAGATTTTCAACATTTCAAGCAGTGACAAGCCACGGAGTGTGATGTGAGAGTCGACAGAATGCTTTTGCCACTCTTTTACTCCAGATGCCAGACTTCAGCTCAGGGTGGTTGCCTCACCAGTCCTCGCCTCTAGCTGGAGGTCGCAGGGGATCAAGACGTAGTCCTGAGCAGGGGAGGAAGGAGGGCTGAGCGTGGTGCCTGTGTGGTTCCATCAGCCCTCACGGGGCTCACCACCACCCACAGCCCCTCTGACACAGCCAGGGCCTGTGTCCCTGGGGCTAAAGAGGGGCTGGGCCTATTTAAAGCAACAAAACTTGGATTCACACCTTACCAGAGCTGGAGGAGCAGCCTGATTTATTCCGAAGTTGGGAGGTTAGCATTGCTCCCATGCTCCCTTTAAATCAAACACAGCAGGGAGCAGTTTAAAGGTTTTGTTTCTTACCCTGTGAATTGTGACATTGACATCGGTGTAGGTGAAACTGGCGATGTGGGGCAGGAAAACACCTCCTCTCAGGACCACTAGGAAAAGAAAGAGGGACAGTTGCCAGCTGGGTGCTGCCTGGGTCTGTGTTGAGCATCCCGTGAGGCAGCACCTGCAGAGCTTCCATGTCCTCACCGTTAATCTGGATCGGCACCTCCTCACGGATCGTGGGCAAGAATAACTCCTCCAGCAAGGCAGCCTGTGGGGGAAAGCCAGGGTCAGCTCACGGTGTGGGACTAAAGCAGGAGGCAGAGACCCATGAGAGAGGGTCCTGATGTTCACTGCACCTCTCCCCATCCCACAAGGACCCAACTCTCCCTTTCACCAGGTGCAACGAGGACTCAAAGTCAGTATTTCAGTATTTCCCTGCTGGCACCCACTGCCCAGGATGGCTGGAAGGGCTGTGGCCAGCAGCACCTACCAGCACAGGACCCACGTCAGAGGCAGCCAGGCTGAGCTCAATATCCCTGGAAAACAAAGAGCAGCACAGGAGCTGCTGGTGCTGAGCTGTAACAAGCATTGACTTCCCTGTTTCCCCAAATCCCTTAGCTGGGCTCAATTGGGAACAATGCAGGGGGTGGAAGGTGCAATTCCCACTTTTCTCCATAACCATGTTTCTGGAATCTCACTGTTTCCCTGAGGAAGGAGCTACCTCTGCAATGCCCAAACTCTAAAAGCTAAGAACTTCCCAGGACCCCTTTGCCTCTCCTCTCCCTGCTGTGGCTGGGATGTGTCCCCTTCAGGCACCCAGAGCACAGCTGTGTTCATTACTCTATCGCTGCTGCAGAGATTATCATCCTTGTGTCCGTGACGCTGATGTGGAGCCTTGCAGACACGTCCTGTGGAGAGAACAGAGGGCAGATCAGCAAGGAAATGGCCCCGCTTTGGCTTTGAACAGTGGGATGTGATGAACTCATCCATGTGTTGCCACCCACAACGTGCTCCCTGCGTGATGCCACATGGGCAAATGCTGCTGGAGACCTGGGAGCACCTTGATGGGAAAAGGCTGAATCAGCCCCTGTTTGGCTGCAGT